GAAAGAAGGGAAAGGGAAGGGAAAGGAAAGGGAGGGAAAGGGAAGGGAAGGAGAAAGGAAAGAGAAGGGAAGGGAAAGGAAAGTAAAGGAAGGGAAGGGAAGGGAAAGGAAGGGAAAAGAAGGGAGGGGAAGGGAAGGGAAGGGAAAGAGAAGGGAGGAGAAGAAGAAGGAGAAGGGAGGAGGAGGAGGAGGAGAAGGACAAAGGAAAAAGGAAAGTAAAAGAAAAAAAAGAAAAGAGAAAGAAACGAAGGGAAGAAATCTTGACATAGAAAATGTAGACGTCCTTTATTCTGGGTGATCCTAATTTCTCTTTCCTAGCAATGATAATAGAATAATAAACAATTGGATTAAAGTAAAAATAAAAACTTGAGTCACACAAATATAGGTCCTATGAAAATGTAGTAAATGACCAAGAAATCAGTACTTTTCACCATTTACAAAAAAAAAAAAAAATAAAAAAAAAAAAAAATTACAAAACATTGTTACTTGTGAATTAATAATTTCACTTTCATGATTTTGTACCCCTGAACATAACACTTTAGTTCCTCTTTCTTTATGGCTAGAATTCAAATGAGTTTTTCATTACACAGGAAATATAGATGTAAAGATCTTTGTAACATATAAATATTTTTCCATATAAAATGATTACAAGAATTCCAAAATTTCTTATCACTATGGATATCATAATCACATATATTTTTATCCACTGTAAGAGTTTAGTAATGCCTAAACATAGACAATGCTGTGCAAAAGAGGATGAAATGGTAAAGCACAGGCGTATGCAGCAGAGAAAGAGTTTAAGTATACTTTTGTTATTCATATTCCCTGTAGAGAACTTTAGATGCAGATTAATAAGAACTGGAACCTGAATTTAAATGCAAAAATATCAAGTATGGTAAATAAAAGAAAACTTTTATCAACTGATTTTATTATATACACCACATTCTTAATTTTACATTAACAAACTAGAGGATAATTGATCTTTATTTGTCATAAAAAAACTGACAAGTCAATCAGAAAAAAAATCAACACTTTTATTTTCCCAAGGTAAATGTAATTTCGAAATAACCAGAATACTGGTTTGGTTCTTGTAACAAATGCATGTGCCTTAACATAATATGTCTAAAACTTAAAAAAAAAGCAAAGGGATTCACTGCATAAATTTATAATCTGACATGTAAAAATGAGAGAGTAAACTTAAATGAGAACAGACTATGATTATCTGTTTCAAATACTAATTTAGAGTAAGAACGTTGTTAATATTCCCTGTACTCAGAATCCAAGAGTATCTTACATATTTGCTCTGAAGACATTTTCTAAAGAATGGGTATATATATGTATATACTTGCACGTCATCTGTGAATTACCGTTTTAAAAAATTCAACTATTGTACTATTTTTTCTTTTTTATCAAGGGTAAATATACTACATGATCTTACTTGCACACTGTAAATGTAAGTGGGAAATTCTCCTTATCTTACTGTTTTTTCACAATCTAATCAAGGTGGACTTATTCTGTACTCGCTCTGGTTCGAGTCGATCTTCGCGGTGGGGGTTCCTCCTCCTCACTAACAGAAGGCTTGCTCTTTCTTGACCTTTTTCGTGGGCTAGCTGCCTCATAAGTCTGGTCTTCAGAAACGAGCCGTCTCACAGCCCTTGTTCTTTGTTGTGGGACGGTATCACTGTCTGTTTCTTGCTCATCCTCTACATCTGAGCTGTTTGCCTTTTCCGATTCTTCGGCATTCTCATTTGTTTCCAAGGGTGACAGGACGTTTTCTAGGTCTTCCTCTTTTTCTTCAGGAATTGTAGCTCTAACACTTCTGCTTTTTCTCCTTGGAGTGGAGGACCCCTTTTCACTTGGTTGATCATCTGAAGAACTTCTCGTGCTTCTTTTCCGCTGTTTGGTCTCTTTTACTGGAACATCTTGGTCATTTTCATCTTTGTCTTTCTTTGTTGATCTTCCAGTTCTGGATGACTTTTTCATGGCTTGTGTTTCTTCTTGTGAAGCAGAGGCATCTGTGTCAGTTGCCAGTTTTTGGTCATCAACGCTTTCTCTCCTCTCCTTTGTTTTTTTGCTTGCTTTCCTGTGCTTTTGCTGCTACTTTCTTCATTTATTTTAGATTCTTGTTCCATTTCTTCTTCCTCATATTTCTCCATTTTCCCTGTTCTACTGGATTTTTTGGGTGTGGATGACTTCACTTCAGAGCTTCCAGGTAATTCACTCTCTTCTTCCACTAGATGTAAATCTTGAGGTTCTTCAGTACTATCCCTCAACCTCTTGCTGGTTTTTCTATGTTTGCTCTTGCTTTCACTTTCCTGCTTTCCTTCCTTAGTGTGTTCAACCTCTTCGCTTTCCTTCTTTTTTTCTTTCGTGTTTATCAGTGGTTGTCTGTCAAACCTCTTTGTTTGCTCTTGCTTTCACTTTCCTGCTTTCCTTCCTTAGTGTGTTCAACCTCTTCGCTTTCCTTCTTGCTTGGTTTTCCTATTCTTGGGGCTTTCTGTGACTGCTGAGGAACACCTGCTACATCCCCTTGCTCTTTGGACATGCTATCTTCACTTTGCATTCTTTCATCTACTTTCTCCTTTGTCTTCTTGGCTTTAATCTTTTCAGAAACTTTTTTCTCTTCTCTTTCTTTGTCTTCTGTACTACTTTGACCTTCCTTCCAATTCTCTTTGACACACTCACATTGCTAAGATTATTAGAGAATCTGCTATTTCTCTATTGACTTAATACTCTCCTCTTTCTTAGACTGAGGTAGGCTGCCCTGTGTATCAAGTGACTGGGCATTAAATAGTCAACAATGAGACTAGGATTCGCCTTACTTTCTATCCAATTTGTTGACATTTCCAGTGTTAGAAATTATACATAATACTTACCAAGATTTACTTTCACTGATGGCCATGGACTCAGAATACTTGACTCAGTGCCTGATGAGGAGTGGAGTGTGACTTCCTTCTTGTCTTGCAGACGATTCTCATTGATCACACTCAACTCCTATGCCTGCTCCCACCAAAGTTCCGGTTATGGCTCTGTCATTCTTTTTTTCAAGGTCAATCGCAGTCTCAGATCCCGGGTTGCGATGGAAGCGTGTGATTCTTGGTGCTCGTATGTTGGTATTTCTCTTGTAATCATGTTTCGTGTGCATTTTGATGTCTCGTGCACTGGCTAGTTGAGTGGTGGTGCTGTGTGTGGAGATCTGCATTGATTGTGCTCGCTACCTTGTGTTCTATTTCCTTCGTCTTGTCGTGTGTGTGTTTGAGTGCTCGGGATAGGTGGTATGTTTGTCCACAGTTGATTCTTGTGTATGGATAGGCCTAGCTTGTGTGGTTATGTCGTTGTTGTAGCTTACTGCAAGTGCACACGTTTTTATTAGTTCACGATGGTTGAGATCGCCAACGGATCAGAGCTTTCATCAAGTATGAATATACTGACCAGCAATATTGTCCCTTATTATTAAGCCCATAGGAGTGCAAGAACAATTTCATTTGCTGCATGCTAATTAATGCTCATTCCTCTCTGTACCAGGTGGTGTGTATTAGGAATGCGGATTTTCATGTGCAATCTCCAGTCATATAATCACTTGCCATGCCAAAACCTCTTGACTATTATCTGATCTACGTATACTCTTCTCTATTAGCTCTCGGCTCATGTTGTCTGAGTTGACCTGCTGCACCAAATGACTGTCCCTGGTATATTTGTCATGGTCAGTGGTGGTGGTTGGCTGTTGCCCATGTTTTGTTGGTGAATTGTTTGTGTAGTAGTTTGCTATACTTTGTAAGCTAAACATAGATGCAAATAACAAGTATGTCTTGAAATGTAAAGTTCTTGCTATGTATGTGTTGGAATCAACCTTAACCAGAATCTGTATTGAGCTTATTCATGATGTATGGTACTCATTCTCAGTATTTCTTTTTGGTAGAAATATTATTAGCTATTTACATAATTGATCTTTTAACTATACTATTTGTATCTTATTAATGGTAATGGCAAATCTGTAATGGTCTTATAATTCAATTACACTCTCCTGTGAATGGCGAAGAATCGGTAAGCTTTGTATATGTGCCAAACCCTCTTTCTCTAGTACCGGTGGCAGAAGTGTAAGATCTGACAACTCACTAGTCAGCATCTTTCAAGGCTCCGTTGTTGGGTTAGTGAATGCTGTGTATTGGTAATCAGTGGTTGCTTGATTCTATCTCTTTATTTGGCTGGTCTTATTTCCCAACATCTTCTATGTCTTGGTGGTGCTATAGCTGGCGCGCGTGCGCTCGCCTCCTATTACCATGTTTCACTGTTCTCTATGTTATATATTATCTCCTATGATTGGCTTAGGCCAGTTGGTATTTCATATCTTGGTGCACTGATTTAAATTTCTGTTCCTTGGGTTATCGTAAATACTGGTAAACTTGACCCTGCATTACTTTTCCAGTAGTCCTGGTCTTATGCTAGTTATAATGGGTGACCATGATTCTGAGCTTAAGTGCTGCCCTACTCTCTGCAGTCAAATTAGTGTGTCGTTGGTGTTAGCCTGGTAGTGTGTGTGTTGCTGATTAACATATAGTGATTTGTTTCGAGTCTCTGTACGTTGTGCTGCTCGTTGTGTGTGTGTGTGTGTGGTGGCGACTAGTGTGATTGTTCGATGTGCGCTCTCGCTTATGTGGTTGTGTTGCTACGTTATCAATCACTAGATCCTTACTTATTCAAATGGATAATATAACCTATCTCTGGCTTTATAGTTATTAGCTTAACCATTTGATCGCGATGCTCGAATCCGCTTAGACATTTCTGTGTTGGCTGTGGATCAGAGTGAGCTTGCTTTGTGTGTGTGTGATGGTGAGCTGATCTGGTGTGTAATGTCTCTTATATTTTGTTAAACCATCTACCTAGGACATCATATACTCCAATTACAAACAGGTTAGAATCTTGTTATGTTACTGTCTGGTTAGCTTTTACTCTTTTTATTAGTAACTGTGCGATAAGATGGCCCAATAATCACAGTTTATCTTGCGTTCTTGGAGGGCTTCGTCTGTTTTATGTGATGGGAGTCTATATTAGAATATTTTCATGTACATTGTGCCAGAGGTGGTTTTGTGTTATTTGCTGACTTTGTAATCCAGGCAGTCTTTTCGATAATAGGGTAATAGGTCTGTCCTCGTTTTGTAAATGTGTGTAAGTGTAATAAGTTGCTAGTAAAGAACTCTTTATGTGTTTTGGTTGCATAGTAGTCATTGTGAATGCTAATGCCACTATTAAATGGTGGGTTTTTCATCATCTTTTTAATATAATATTCTCTAATGCATTCAGATGTAGTGTAATCAAGTCATCTATATACAACTTCACGCTTATTTACCTACCTCATCTTGCGTCGTGTGTAATCTCTTTTTTCGTTATATTTTCTTTTCGTACTGATTCTTATCCTCGCATGTAAAAAGTCACTAGTAGTGCCCGAGGGCCACACATCCATATTCACTGACAACAAGCCCGAATATTCCACTTATCAGCTGTACTTCAGTCTTGGGATTCTGGAACATTTTTCTATCAGTTTCATTCTCTTGTGTTTCTATTTATCCTTATGGTCTCAATGATTGCTCACGACAAATCAAATTCTTCTGTGCATCTCTGTCAATGGCAATTTCAACTTTGGGTCTTTATATATGTACAAGGTTACTGCTTGAAAGTTAATATATCTTATGCTTTTGTTTCTCAATTTCAGGATGATTCTTTACGCTTTTTGTGCAGTACTGTCATATGACTTGTCATGTTTTTTTCTTCAGGATAAGAATTGTACATTTTTCTAAATCTTGCTTTGTTTTCTTTCTGAACTTCTTCAGTACCAGGTGGCAGAGGAAGATCTGAACTCACAGGATCTTCAGCTCCTGGTGGGAAAGGTAAACAAGTCACCCCAACATCTTCTGTTCCGGGTGGCAAGGGGAGGCCTGGATCCATTACATGTTCAGTTCCTGGTGGCAGTGGTACATCTGGACTGATTAAATTTTCTGTTCCTGGGGGTAAAGGTAAACTTGGACCCATCATACTTTCAGTACCTGGTGGTAAGGGCAGATCTGAGCCTACTTCTGCAGTCAATAGTGGTACCTGTAGGTCTGAACACACAATATTTTCAGTTCCTGGTGGCACAGTTATGTCAGATCCTCCTTGGTTACTCACTAGACCTACTATATGGAAACTGTCCTGGCTGTTGCTACCACTGCCACAATCCCTATGTACATCCTGGATCACAGTAGCTGCTGATAACATCTCCTGGGAATCATTATCCATTTCAAAGTGTGTTACTGGGTAGCTTTCCTCTCCTGGTGGAAGAGGCAAATCACAGTTATCTTGGTTCTTGGAGGCTTCGTCTGTTTTAGGAGGGAGAGGAATATCTGACGGCAGAGGGGTTTTGTTTGCTGACTTGAATCCAGGCAGGGGGATACTCAGTAAGTCTAAAGCCTTTAGTGTTGCAGCAGCAGCACATTCTGTGGGCTCATCATCTTCTATATCCATGCATTCAGAGGTGTTCAAGTCATCTAAACAACTGTATTCCTCCTCATCTTGGTTTGTAACTTCGCCGCTCTGATCATCATAGCCAATGTAGTCACTAGTAGGAGGGCACACATCCATATCACTGACAACAGGATATTCACTTTCAGCTGTAGTCTTGGGATCTGGAACATTTTCTATCAGGTTTTCATTCTCTTGGTTCATTACCCAGGCAATGTTGTCAGACAAATCAATTTTCTGCTCCTCTGTCAATGGAATTTCCAATTTTGGGTCTTGTACAAGGTTACTGCTTGAAAGTATATCTTGCTTTGTTTCTTTCGATGATTCTTTACGCTTGGGTACTGATGACTGCTGTTTTTTCTTCAGGAATGGCATTTTTCCTATAAGAGGTAATTTGGGTGCTGCACTTTTCTTTTCGTCATCTTGACTGTCTTTGTATGATCCATCCGCATATGCTGCTTCATCTCCGTCTGTCTTAACATCTTTGGTAACGACTTCCCTGGAAGAACCTTTTTCCTTTTTGGATTCTCTTCTTGTACTTGTATCTTTGTACTCTTTGCTCTCAGAAGCCTGAGTCTGTGTTACAGATGACTCATTTTTGTGGTCATGAGTCTTCCCGGAGTCTGATTCAACCACCCTTTCTCTCTCACGCTTTTCACTCTTCTCTTTCTTGCTCTCCTGCCGCTGGCTTCTCTCCCTTTCTACCTTTTCATTAATTTCAATACCCTCTTCTTTCTCTTGTCTTACCATGTCCCTCTTTTGCTTGATCTGCCTCAGCAGTTTCTCCTCAATTTCATCTGTTGCAATTTTTTCCTTCAGCTTCATTTTTGCCTCCACCATGTACCGTGCTTGCTCAACACTATACTTGGCATAAGCTGCTGCCTTGGTCTTGACGAGAGATGCCTCATACATGGGATTCTTCACCAAATGCATCTGCAGTAAGACAAAGATTATTGTCAAAAGGTGAGAAAAATGTAGTTGATAATCACAATAATTGGAAATGAAATTATGAATGGCTGAATAAAATAGTACTAACATTTGAAGATAAATAAATAAGGCTTTTATGATAACATCACCAGGCAAGTAGTACTTATTTAACTTACTTTAATTCAATTCCCCCAATCAAAGAAGTCTTGACTTCTAAGTAACTTTTAAGAACAGAAATCACCATATTGGAAACTCTAACCATAGAATCAATGATGTAACATATTTTCCCCCCGACTATGATACATTTATCTCCCCAACCCTCCTGTAATAAAAAAGGTAGTATATGTAAAATACAAATGAAATATATCATACATCAAGTAAAAATAAACCTACAAAAATACTTCACATACCAGTAATAAAAGTCGACACAAAAATATATAATTAATGACTGGACAGCTTACCTTGTAATTTGAAGTGTGTATCTTCGACTCAGGATGTCTGACAGCTTCACCCTTGTCTCTCATGAAGACATCACAGAGGGAACAGTAATAAGATGTGAGTGAATGAAGAAATTCTACACCTGAAAGATAAATGAATTACATTTATTCTCTCTCTCTTCTCTCTGTAAGTTTGCTCCCTACCTCTGTCCCTATTTCACTTCCTTTCACTTTCTCTCTAATACTTGCCTCCTCCTCCTCCTCCTAGATTCTTATTCCTCTCACTCATAGATACACCTACTAGACAAGATACATGTCTGATAGAGGATCATACAATAGATTTTAAAAATTCTAATAATGTTTCACTCACTCACATTCCATACTCAAAGAGAGGATGAAGGAAAGAAAAAAATGCAGTGAACACATTTCTACCTTAGATTTGCAAACATTTTCATACCTTGAACTGGAACTATAAGGGCTGTTGCATTTGGGGGTTTGGGTTCCTTCTCCTCCTTTGGGGCTTTGGCCAACCATGTCTTCCGATCATACTGAAAACACGTGCAATAGGTATTAGACTTCTTAAATATACACAGCACATGACATCAATACATAGGAGAGGATAGGAGAGAAAAGTTGGATCATCATCAAATATTTGTAAACTTCTATGGTCTTTATATATACGAAAGTTAAAGAGGAAGAAGAAGAAGAAGAAGAAAAAGAAGAAAGGTGGCAGCAAGAAGACATGAAAAGTCTTGTAACATAACACTGAGTACTTACTTTACATTTTGCTAAGTGTGATGAACTGATAAGATGATCCACATACTCAGGAATGCTCTCACAGAATATGCTGCACAGCTTACACCAATGCATGCCTTGGTCACAGTAGCGAATATATGTCCTCTGAACAAAACCTTGTGGATATTGCAGACCTTCATCAATTTCTTCTTTTGGTTCCTCCTTTTTCCTATACACGTCTTGCTGCCTTTTTTCTCCATCGGATTTACTAGCTGTTGTTCTCTTTCTGGAGGTAGATGGTGCTCTCTGAAATTCCTTGGAGTACTCCCCTGATGGAGACCACAATCTCTGCTGCTGGCTACCTGATACTGGTGACCTTGTTCTATGTCGCCCAGCATTTGGAGAGCGTGACTTGTGCCTGCTCACATTAGGAGATCGTGACTTGTGCCTGCTCACATTAGGAGATCGTGACTTGTGCCTGCTCACATTAGGAGATCTTGATCTTTGCTGTCTTGGAGCTGGAGAACTCATTCTGTGTGGGCCTGCAGCAGCTGGAGATCGCGACCTATGCTTTCCCGAGGCTGGTGAAATGGATCTACGATGTTCTGGATACTCATAGCCTTTAGATTCATTTCTATAAGATGCCTCCACATGCTTATAATTCCTCTCTGGTGTCTTCCCATGCTCATACTGCCGAGATGGTCCACAAAACCTCATGGCTGCAGGTGACCTACTGCTCCTCCTCTGTGGACTCTCTGCCCTTGGCAATGGCTGGTTCCCTGGCTTTAAAACCTCAATCTCTTTCTCAACTTCAATAACCATATGGTTAATCTTTGTAATCTGATTTCCCATCTCCTTCATGAGGAACCAGTTTTCTTGCAGGAGATTATTAAGACTGCTCTTGTCTCCTTTGTGATTGCTAATGATGTCATCCCTCTGATTCATCATCAAATCTTTCTGCTCTGTTAGGGACCTGGCTCTTTTCAACAGAGTATCTCTCTTCTGCATCAGCTTTTGTACTGGATCTTCCAACTCCTTTACTTCTCTTTCATGCATCTTGCTGGTCTTCTTATCCTCTGCACTTGAGTCAGAACCTGAATCATAGCTCCTCCTTTGTTTTGACTTTCCGGTCTTTTGCCGTTTACTCTTGGACCGCACTTGTACTGGAGGTTCATGGTCATCAGCTGCCTCATCACCTCTACCGACCTACTGCTGTGTGCTCTTGTCTGTGAGGAAGGCGGGGGTACACTGGGGGAGTAAGAGTGACCACTGGGGAAGAGCATAGGCCTTGACTGTGGAGCTTTGTCTTTATTCATCTCTGTAATTCTACTGGCAGTGGCCTCCTCATCAAGCTGAGAAGTCATGGCAGGTACTGGAGGGACTCTCGATGACGAGGAGGATGAAGA